AGCGCGAGAACTGCCCGGGGTTGCCGGGCCCAAGCCTGAAGGCCAACCATCGGCCTCTCTCACCACACGCAGCTTAGCACATGTTACACTTGAGCAAGATCCTCCGTTCAGGAACTGAAAGACCCCGCTCAAATAAACGCCCGCGCCGAATGCGAATGCAGCTCGCGCCCGAGCGCGCTCGCACGTGCTCGCGACCGACGCGCGCGCGCTCGCGCCGGCGCGTTCACGGGGACACCGTTCAAACGGTGCGCGCTGGGTGGCGAACTACCTGCATGCATCGATCCGACCCAACTGACTCTGTTCTGACATGGCGGCCTTTCCACGCACAGAGGCCACCGCGCGTCGCGCTGCCTCCATTGGGGAGCCTTTCAGCAGAGGTGAGTAGCAGGGTGCTGACCCGAAGGCTCGCAGAGTGACATTTTGTCCGTCGCAGGCCGACCTGGACGCCCCCGCGGTCCTGGATGCCCCGAGGAAGAAGCCATGCATGCCCGGCGTGTCAGATCTCGCACGAGAGGTGCGCGGGCGCCAAAATCCCTAAACAGCATGATAAGACTCGCTGAATCTCGAGACGCGGATATCCTGCCAGTAGCACGCCCCGACATCATAGTGAGGGCACATGCTTCAGCGCGAAGAATTGTCCGTCAGGGGGGTTCTCTTGGGGCCATCTTAGAGCCGTCGAGCAGGCTTTTCACGGCGTCTTGGGTCCCTCTGGAGGTTCTCTTGGGCAAGCTTGGAGCTCTCTTGGGGCCGTCTGGGCCGTCTATGAGCCCTTTGGGCCCTCATGAGGCCGTCTTGGCCGCTTCTAGGCTCATTTTGGATCTTTCAAACCTACTGATGCTCACGCGCGCGGCCGCGGCAGAGGGCGGGCAAATGATCTTCGCGAGCAGCGCGTTGGGCACAATGAACGGTGCGCTCTACGACTGGGCGACGGATGAAATCGTTAGCCCTGCTGGGCGAGAAGCTGCGGTAGGGGGATTCTGGCACCTCTCCGCGCGGAGGATGCAGCCCCTGGGAAAGCGCGGGATACCCCTCATCGCGCCAACGTTGTTCGGTCCAATACACCGCCGACGCCAGGGTTCGGAGGGGGGCCCACCCGTCAAAATCCAAATCTTTCTTGAATTCAGCGAACACTTCTCGAGCAACCGGGGAATCAGCTCCAAATCAAAGTCCATGCCCAAGGTTGGGCTGAGCAGCCCGGAGCAAAAACCCAAGTCGGCACAGATGGCCTCCAGCCTGCGCCTGAGAATCACCGAGAAATCTGGCGGCATGGTACTCGCACAACCCTCATCCTCATCCGAGCAGTGATCGGGGGGCCTGGGTTGCCGACCCAGGTCCAGGAGGACGCCCGCCGCGGCCGCGACAAGTCCCCGAACGCGCTTCCAAACATACATCTGGGGACGATGGAAAACTGATCCTCTTACGTATTCCAAACCTGAGTTGCGCGCTGATTTCCTTTTCAAGAAATGTCATCGGAAGGTCGAACAATCCCCGGAGGCCTGGGGGCGCCCGCGCCGACGTCGGCGGATGGAGTCATTCTTCGCCGAGGCCAGCATTCCCAAGACGGTGGCGGTGCAAGCTCAGGCATGCCGCTGTCCGGAGCAAGTGGCCGCCCCCCCTCGGGCGCACTGGACTTGGGCCACTGAGACCACAGCAACATTGTGGCCCCAAGTGCCGGCGGCAAGTATTCCAGGTTTGTAAAGCTTCGTGGCTTGGCTTCAGGCTTGCTTCGCGAGCCTGGCGCGGTGCTGAACCTGCCTGGCCCGGGCGGAAGCTGAAAGACGACGGGCCCGAATGATAACAGGGGGCCGACGCTTGCTGGCAGCGGCGGCGGTGCCCCATTCGCGGGCGACGCCGTGGGTCTTGAGCTTCAAACCTGCAAGATTGAATTATCTCTGAAAACCAGCGAACGACAAGGTCTTCTGCTGGCGACGACGGCAGGCCTCTCGGACATATACCTCGCCGGATGGATTCAACGGCATGTCCGACTTGAACAGCGGCCGCGACAATCTGTCAAATAACCTGCTCCTGTGTCCCGAGACAAACTTGCTAGACGCCACCAACGTGCGAGCGAATATAGACGCGTGGTTTTCCGACGCAGTCTACGCGATGGAAATCGTCGGGTGTCTGACAGCAATAAACCTTAACCCATGGCATGCGACTGCGCGCAACCTTGAAATGCGCAAACTCCTGCAAACAAAACCCGGGAACGTAACCGACTACCCCCCCAGCATACCCGGCGCGAAATGCACCGGCATACCGAAGTATAGCACGCGCGGCAGAAACTCAATGCACCGGCAAATTTGCACCAAAACAATTTCAAATCCCGGTGGGGGGCCAAGCTGCGCACCCCCATCGAAACTAGAGAACTCATGGCTCAACTCTCGACGAAGCGCGTCTTGCAGGGCCGAGCTCTCTCGATCGCATCGCGCCGGGGAGCCGACGCGTCCATGGGTCCACTGGGCCGCGAAATCGCTCCTCATTTCGCAGTGATCTCGGCGCAGGGCACGGCGCCGACAGACAGGGCCATCATCGACGCGACTCCTCGGGAGAAGGCAAATGAGCGAATCTGAGCTGGCCGAGCCATGCGCCGCCCGCAGTGGTTAGACATCTCAACCCGCGCCGCGACATCTCCAAAGTCCAGGCCCAAGAAATCCCGGGGCGTCAACCCGCTGGCCCGACGCGCAACGCACAGGCCCCGAGGGAAGGGCTCAGGAAGTCCAGGTTGGAACTGAGTGGCCGCCGCGCGCAGCTGATCCAGGCCTCGCCAAGATGTCGTTCCTTGATCGCGCTGGGGGCCCAGGACTTGCTCCATCGTCTTTTGCGATTTTGCGTCGTGTCCTCAGGGGGTAGGAGTGCTGCTTCGGGGGCTACAAAGTACTCCAGTTCCCCCTGTTCACCCCTCCAGGGCCGCGCGCGCTCCACGCGGGCGCGCCGCGGGGGGGCCCTCAACCAAACAACGCTCGAGGGCCTTCGGCGAGTCGTTTCGGGCCGGCGCCCGCGCCGTACTGGGGGCGGCAAATCAGGCAAGGCCTGGCACAGACAAAGATCCAACGATTTTCAGCTCGCCAGGACGGGCGCGCCACTCATGGGAGGACTGATCAGCGGGCAGACAAGCAATTCACTGATCGACGCGCGCGCCCAGTTCAGCGAGTCTGCAGCCGGTGCCGCGCCGCGCGCGGCGGTATCCCCTACTGACGGCCACTCTGAAGTCAAAAACCCTCTGATAGACAATAGACCAGTCGGTCAGAGACGGCCAAGCAAAGAGCACCCCCTACTCCTGCCACGGCCAGTGAGACAGGCGGGGCGAGCGCGAACTGACCCCCCACTGCCTCAAGGCCGATCCAAGCCCATCTCCTCCCCCGCTGCGGTTGGCGCCGCCATCCGCTCCATCGCTCATGGCCAGAGAAGGTAGGGCGCGTCGAGCGAGGCGTCGCCCGCGGGGGGCGGTCTCCAATCTCGCGGCGCAGATATGGTGCGTTTGGCTCAGGGAAGCTTGGGCCCCTCACAGATGGGCCAAGCGCGGGGCCGAACTCTCTCGGGCATGTCCCGCAATTGCGCCGCATGCGGCGACCGAGCTTCGATGTGGCAGCGCATCTGAAACGGCGAGTCCTGGGGCTCGGTCGCGCGCAGTAACACAATCGCGCGCAATAACAGAACCGCTGAGAGATCCACCGCCGCTACAAATATAGTTTACACCTGGGGGCGGCAAGTCCTCGGCACGAGTTGGCCCCAGAAAGCTGCGCGCTTCCGCCTGTTCAACGCGCGTGTAGTCCTCCGCCAGAGACCGCGGCGCACTCAGGGACTTCGCGAACGCACCGCTTTGCTTCGCATTCTAGATGTTTCCCCCCAGGGCCCCCCTGATCGGCCACCGCGTAGACTGCTCCTGCGGCCGTCGCGCAAGATTGGGTTCGAAGCACTGGCGACGTCCGGCCACTGCCAGATTCCACAACTCTAACTTGGCCTCCATGGGCCAGCGCGTCTAAAGCGCACGCGCGCGCCGCAGCTCGCGCCCCCCCGCGCCCCCCTCCTCCCCGGGGAGAAGGCGAGACAGGGGGGCAGGGGGGGCGCCGCCCAGCGGTGGCCACGCGCTGCGCAGACTTCAGAGAGGGGGGAAGCTGGAGGTGATCAGCGCAAACCTCGGCCAGTATAACGCCACTCGACAACTAAACCCGCTGCTGCGGCCTCTGGGCGACCGCCGCCTAGGAACGGCCCTTGAAACCCTCGCCCGCGTTGTCCTGCGCGCCTGGCACGCCTGGCCGACCGCGCTCCGGCCCTCTCGAGCACGGGCTCCTCCGCGCGGATCTGGTCGAAATTTGAGGGGCCCTCCCACGAGGCGCCCCGTGGCGCTGGCGAGCTCGTCGGCGCGGCCCTGGGGAAAGCCGCCTGCTTCAAGGCCAACATCGCTGCCAGCAGCCTCCTGGACCTTCCTCTGTACGTCAGCGAAGTTCTGGACCAAGCCCAAAGGGATACTGTTAGCAATGCAACGCTCACGTATCCCAGCAGCGCCCACGCGGTGAATCTTCGGTAGTTCGGCATCCATCGGAGGGGGCGCCTAGGCACCACCTGGAACACCATGGCCACCAGCAGCGCCAGCGGCGGCGGGGCCTGCGGCGGGGACGGCGGCTCCCGCAGGGCCGTCCTGCCCCACCATCAGCGCCCACGGGGCCTGGTCAGCAGTGGCCGCCCTGGCCGCCCTGGCCGCCGCCGCTGCCCGCGCCCGCTGCCGGCGCTTGGCCTCGATCCAAGCTGCCTCCGTGAATTGATAGAACTGTTCACCAGCTTCACGCTACTGTTGTACAGCAGCGTGAGAGTTGATCAACGTTTTGAGAATTGGCGCGTGCTTCACGAAAGGCTGCCTCCAACTTCTGGACTTCATTCGAACAATGATGTACTTCTTGTGGCGACACACGGACCGACTAGGCACAATGTTCGACTTCCCGAATGAGACGAATGTGTTCATGCCGAACAGCGTCCGCACATTGAGCCCGGTCCACTGCTCATCCTGAGAAGCCTGCGGTGGAACTGTGCCTCCGGGCACTTCCTGGAGATCTGGCCGTGCAGCGAGCCCTACTGCAGCGGCCGCAAGCACTTCAGGGCCAGCTGCACCCTGGCACCCCTCGGCCACCTCGTGTTCCTGCACCTCTTTGCTGGGGGCGCGGGGTCCTTCGTGGTGTTGCGAAACATAGCAGCCACCACAATTTGAGCAACACCAATTGCAGTAAGACCTGAAATCCCAGCACTGACATTTCGAGCATACATCATACGCCTTGCTGGATCGATCGGTCGCCTGCTTCCTGTCGCCGCCGCGGGCCCAGCTGCCGCCGCGCCAGGGAACCTTGCTGCGCAACGCCCTGGTGCTGTTAACGAGGTGGAGGAAAACGAAAGAACTTCCACGTTGAACCCCTGTGGAACAAAACATATTGAGCCAAACTAGCTACAGGAAACAAGATGAGGAAGAATACGGAGAAGGGTGGGGGGAGTTGCGCCGGCCACCGACAACAGATCACCCGCAGCAAAGTGACCCACATGGCGCCAGGAGGATGAGGATGAGGAGGGGGAGGAGGACTAGGAGGAGGACGAGGAGGAGGAGGAGGAGGAGGAGGAGGAGGAGGAGGAGGAGGAGCAGGCGGAGGAGGAGGAGGAGGGGGAGGAGTAGGAGGAGGAGGAGGAGTGGGAGGAGTAGGAGGAGGAGGAGTGGGAGGAGGGGAAGGAGGGGCAGGATGATGGAGAGGAGGACCTCCCCTCGTTGCTCCGCCCCCACCATCCTCCACCCCTCCCAGCCCTCGGGGTCCCCGCCCCTGCCATCCACTAAGCTTTGTGGCCCCCGTGCTGCTGAGAGAAGCTGCGCAAGAACGGCCCCAACCATCGTGCGGCGAGGCCTCTGGCCTCTGGCCTCTGTCGCCGCGATCGGCGGGGTGACGAATCGAACGCCTTCGACGGTTTCTGACGCTGCGTGGTTTATTAAACATCGAACGATCGCTGCCTGCCGATAGCGCAGATCGCTAGAATATCGGTCGACGCCAGGCCACTTGGGGATCCTAAAACGGTGCGGTGAAAGACCGTGCGGTAACCTCGACACCCCCAAAGACCTCAACGCACGGTCCGCCTCTGCACGAATTGGAGGCCTCATATTTCCCTGGAGAGCGACCAAATTCCAAAACCGTGCGGTCACCCCAAAGCCCCACCGACTCACGACAAGGCGTGGCAACCACACCCTTAGGGGGCCCCCGAGCCACTGGCGACATTCAGCCTTGAACGCCCGCGCCTGGGTAGCCGCCGCGTCAACTCGACACGAGCCTGATGTCAATCTTTGAATGTCGAGCGAAATCGAATGTCGGTTGTCCCCAGTGGCCGTCTGGCATCTTCAACCCGAGAAAACCGCGACCACGCTGTGGCCGGGACGGCACGAAGCTACTGTACGATGTTTCCAACCATGCTGCCTCTGTCAGCTAACCCCCCCCCTCTCACCCGCCCCCCTGCCTCGCCCCCGCTTCTACATCGCTCCCATTCTCCACCCTGCCACTTCCCCCATCCCCTCCTCTCCTGCCCCCCTCCCCGTGACTACCTTCCCCCTCCCAGCCTCACTCCTCCCCTCCCCCCCGCCCCTGCTTTCCCCCCTCCCCCCCTTCCGCCCGCCATCCTTCTCCCTCGACTCACTCTCCCATCCTCCCTCCCAACCCTGTGCCCATGGGGGGAAAGAAAACTACTAATGCAACGACTCCCCAAATCCTCTTCCGAGACTCCTATGGTGTGCTGTGATCCGGCTTCCGACACGAATGCGGCCGTGAAGAGAAGGGCGAGAATGAGAATGGGCATCGGTATTGGTAACATGTTCTCTGATATGCTTAATTCCAAATGTTCCTTTTCCTATTCATCGGCTGGCATGATCGAACAAAAAAGGGCTGCAGAAATTCAGACTCTCGGAGGCGTGGACTTCTGAACGCTTCTCCCGCCCCCCCCGGCAGAGCAGCAGCCTGGTACACCATCATGTCGGCGATGGCGAAGTTGGCGAAATCCTCCGTTGTCGGTCGGTCGGTAGGTCGGTCGGAAGGCCCGGCTCCAGCGCAGTGGGCGGGACCCTCGTATCGTCCCTCCTCCGCCCGCCCCTTCTCCTCATGGTCCTCCTGTTCCTCCTGCCTTCCTCCCTCCCTCCTCCACCCGTCTCCTCCTCCACCCGTCTCCTCCTCCACCCGTCTCCTCCTCCACCTCATCCCTCCCTCCGGCTTGCTCCCTCCTCTCTTCTCCTCACCCCTCTGTATCATCCTTCCATTCTCCCTCATCCTCCTCTTTCCCTCCTCCTCCTCCTCCTCCACCTCCTCCACCTCCTCCTGGTCCTTCTCCTCTTGCAGTGGACGGCAGGGACGGGGGGCCCCGAGGGCTGGGAGGGGTGGAGGATGGTGGGGGCGGGGGAACGACGGGGGGGTCCTCCTCTCCCTCTTCCCCCTCCTTCCTCCTCCCCCTCCTCCCCCTCCTCCTACTCCTCCACCTCCTCCACCTCCTCCTGGTCCTTCTCCTCTTCCGTCGCCTGCTCCTGCTCCTCTTCCTCCTCCTGCCGTCAGGCCGAGGCAATCTTCACATTCTTTGCCACCGCGGATAAGCGGGGCAGCCTGGGCTACGTGTGGCACCGCCTGAATGCGGTGTGGGTCCGATGATGTCAAGCACCTTATCCCGCCCGCTCGCGGGTGCTATAAGGAACCGGGCGGAAACCGGCACCTTCCTTTGGGAGGTTCGTGGTTGCTCGTTGTCGCTCTTGGTGTCTCGCTTCGTCGTCGTGTCGTCGCTCCCTTCCCTCTCTGGGAGTTGCGGCATGGTCCTGGATTAAGTTCCAGGGTGGACGTTGTTTGCGCTCCTGGGCCGGAGAGTGGCCCTCCCCACCCCGTGCTGCGGCTGCTGTCGCCGTTGCAGCTGTCAGGCCAGGGCTTTTAGTGTCCTGCCACCTCGGCCAAGAAGTGCGGCCTGGGCGCGGGGAAACCCCAATGGCACCTCCTGGTTTGAGGCGAACCGTCGTTGACGTTCACGGAGGCGGGGCCCGCGGCTTCCTGCCTGCAACCTCTTGGTTGAAATTGCCTTTGGCGCGGGCATACTGCGTCCGTGCTAGTGGGGGCGCTGACGCTTGGCAACGCTCTGTGTTTTGCCCCGGAGGTTATGATGCCGAACCCCGACACGCCAGTTTGGCGCGGGGTGTAGGGCGGTCCGTGGCTTGCCTTTCTTGATTTCATCCCAGAAGCACAACGTTTCTGGCGCTACTAGGAGCTAGTCAGGGAAAAGAAGCCCGAGGTCCCAGCTTGTGTCCGTAATGCCCCATTTCTGCACGTGTGCCTTTTGGTGTTGGCCGTTGGCCACGGTGGCCGTTTGCCAGGGCGCTTCGGCCCGAGCTCGTTGAGCGCCACGGTCTTGTTATGCATTTTGGGCCTGCAACATCCTCCTCCTCCTCCTCCTCCTCCTCCTCCTCCTCATCTTTCTCCTCCTTCTCTTCCTCCTGCTCCTCCTCTTCCCTCCCACCTTTCTCCCACCTCGCTCGCGCAAGCTCCACCGCCCAGCGCACCCGAACAGGTGCTCGCCTCGCCTCCATGCCTCCTCCTCCCATTCTGCTGGCTCCCTCCTCCATGCGACATTCCTCAATCCTTTTGCTCCTCATGTTCCTCCTTCTCCAAGTCATCTTCCTGCTCCTCCCTTTCCCTCGTCTTCCTCATGTTCCACTTCATCGCTCATCTTTATCATGTTGTTGTTCCCCCCTTTCCGCTCGTCCTAATTCCACAGCCTCTTCCATGTTTTCCGCATCGTCGCGTTTCCTCGTCGTTGGTTCCCGTTCTCAATAACACCATTCCTGCCCGTGCGGGCGTTGGAGAGAGCGATACTCAACAAAAAAAACACTCAGCAACCGCGGAGGGGGGGGACTCAAAGGGGAGCCCCCCCCCCCCCCCTGCGCACTGCAAAGGTGGTGGGGGCAAAGGGGGGATCCCCCCCCCGGACACTCGAGGCTCTCGTCCTGCCGCGCGCTAGAGCCCCCCCCCCCGGCACTCGAGTCTCGCTTCCCGCGCCCACAAGGAGGGAACCTCCCCCGCTCCCCCGGCACTCGCGACTCACTCTTTCCTTCCGCGCCCACAAAGGGGGACCCCCCCCCCTCCCCGACACTCGCGACTCACTCTCTCCTCCCGCGCTCACAAGGGGGGACCTCCCCCCCCCCAGCACTCGAGACTCACTCTCTCCTCCCGCGCTCACAAGGGGGGGACCCCCCCCCCATCTCGGCACTCGAGACTCTCCCCTGCTCGCGCCCAGAAGGGAGGGACTCCCCCCTCTCCAACATTTGAAAATTCATCCTGCCCGCGCCCAGACGGGGAGGACTCCCCACCCCCTCCGGCATTCGACTGTTTCCCGCCCGCGCCCCGAAGGGGGGGGACCCCCCCCCAGCGCGCCAGGAACGACGAGAAAGAAAGAAGAGCGAAAGGAGGGGCTGTCTCTCTGACGCCCCCCCTTCGCTGGAGGAGGGGAGGGGCCCTCAGCCCTCCCCGAGCCTCTCGTTTGCGAGGGGGGGGGGGGGGAGGGCAGCCCCCGCCCCCTGCCATTTGATCGCCGGGGGGGGGGGTCCCCCCCCCTTCCGACCCCCCCCTGCGATTTGTTATGTTGAGTATCGCTCTACCGGGCGTTGCTTGACGTGGGGGCGAAACTGGCAGGGTGGGAACAATTGACTCCTTTCGCGCCCTTGGGGCCCCAGGGTGCCCTCGTAAGGCCTTCGTCATGCACTGCAACCCTCAATCCAACCCCAATGTATCGCCCCTTCTCCACGACGCGCTGGACAGTTCCCGACCCCTCCCTTGCCAGGTCCCTCAGGACGGGCACCGAAGGGAGCGTCACGTTCTCGAGGGCACGACCTCCCGGCTGGGTGCGGAGCGGCAGTGCGGCGATCCGCCTCTGCACCCGCGCTGCCTCTGCCGAACCCAACTCGCCATCACCACCACCGACATCATCATCATCATCATCATCATCATCATCATCATCATCATCATCATCATCATCATCATCACCAGCATCAGCATTATCATCAGCATCATCCCATCATCATCATCATCACACCATCACACCATCATCATCATCAACATCATCATCGGCATCATCATCAGAAGACAAACCACCGTTCACCACTGTTCGCCACCACTTGCCAGATGTCCCCCTCATCACCATCGGTCGCAACTCGTGTTGAAACAAGCCATCACATGTCATGATCCATGGTCGTCGACACGCTCGTCATCGTCATGGTCACCGACTGCATCATCATCCCCATTGTCATCATCATCATCATCATCATCATCATCATCATCATCATCATCATCATCATCGTCATCGTCATCGTCATCGTCATCGGCATCGTCATCGTCATCCTTTATATCATCCTCACCTGTGATTGCTGGCTGATACAGGCCTGTGGGCCCGAGAGCCCCTGGTCGGTACCTTGGCGGTCGAAGGCCCTTGCTCGCCCACGAACAAGCTGCCGCGACCCACGAGGACACCCGACAAAAACACATAAACCCATTGCAATCGTCCTTCGCGCCGACGTCCCTCCATTTCGGCGCCTTCGTTCGGACGGGAACGCTTCGATCCCAGCACTCCTTGCAAATGCCGTTCGGCTTCGCGCTCGGGAGCAGCGGCAGCAAGAGGAGGTGCGAGGGCAGGCGGAAGGAGGGTTCAAAACGGACCCATGAACACCCGAAGCCCTGGCGGGGACACTGCCAAAACCAAATCGCGCCAATAGCGAAGGGCAACGAAAGCATCCACCGCCAGAGAAACCCATGCGGGGGGGCCCCAGGTCAAATTCACCCCGGGGCCCCACTCAAAGCAAGAGAGGAGGGGCAAAAACGTCCATGGGCCCAACGGTGGAAAAGGGCGCGATTTTCCGTGAGAGGGAGAAGGCACAGCATGATGCCCTTCCGCATGGAAGAGGAGGGGTGGCCACGCCCAAACGCGGCCCCAAGTGTTTCAGCTGCTAGAATGTTTACCACGCGCAGAATTCAGCGGATGCCCGCCGGCACGCGCATAGCTGCAGCAGGTGCGCAAAGCGAGACTGCACGAAAAAGTCGAGGATGGAAACGCAAGGACGGCCAAACAACTGCACGCCACGGCAAAGCCGTCCGTAAACAAGAAAGTCACATACTACTACTCGTTCAACCAACGGAGAAAATCAAAGTAATGAGACGAAGGAGATGACCAACAATAAAAGCGCGACACAAAGATGGTCCAAGGACGAATCCCACGTGTTCGAGACGCGCAGGAGTGGCCACGCCGCATCAGGCTTCCCCGACAGAAAGAAAAAAACGCAAACGTCGCTCGGCCTCCACGCCCCCGCGTGCAGGTGGCGCTTGGGCCAGGAACGCCTGCCGACAGCGATGATTCTGCCGTTGGGTCCAGGGCCCAGCGAGCGACGCCTCTTCAGGAGCGTGCGCGGTAATGCCTGAAGTAAACCGCTGGGGTCTCGATCCTAAACCGGGCGCCGCTGCAAGCCGCCCGTCTGCCGACGCGATGACTCCAAAAATGTACTGTAAATGGGTGCAAAAGGCAAGACGAAATGCGCACGGCTGTGCCTCCGCTGGATCTCGAGAAAATGCGGCAAACTACAACGCCTATCGTAGCGCTGTCGAGACTCATAATGAGTCGCGCAAGCTCGCATCGAACAACACCTTCGGCCCAACCGCCCACCCCACCGAGTTCGTTTGGGGGCCACGAAAACACCGGGTGTAGATGCGGCTCTCTGCCGCTCGGGAAGAGATGATCCGCGGCCCGCGACGCGAGGCCCGCGCGGCTTCGACCTGTTCGCCCTGGACAAGCGATCGGGCCCACGGGGCCATCACCGGCGCGGCGCGCTCGCGCTGGCCAGGGCTGACAGGCGCAGGCGCGACCGCCATGGCTCCGCCGACTTTGTCTCAGTCACCCGTTGTCTCCAGCGCGTTTGGCGTTCGACAGCCCCGCCGCGCTGCGCCATTGCGCCGCGCGCGTGGCGCTTGGATACCCCGCCGCAAACTCACGCGCCGGTTGTGCGAGGACACCTTGCGTTGATGCCATCCATCGGGGGCGTGGCCTCAGCGACCGTCGACTCCGCAAAGTCGCGCGTCCGCGGCGACATGGGATCATTCTGGGGCATCCCCATTACTGGGCCCACGTGCTTCGCAACGGGTGATACCTATCTAGCAAACACAAATCGCAGAGAAACGTCTCTCATATTCACGTCTGTGCTCGTCCACTCCAATTGGGATATCGCCCGGCCCTGCAAGTTTAGCGCCCGCCTCGTTCCTCATCCAATCCAAGCTCATGGCCTTTCATCGCAGAATGGCTCTGGAGCTCGACATTGCAGTTGGCAGTCGTCAGTTCGCGTGCCTAGAGCCTTTCGCACGCGTATCTGACATATGTCTGAAGGTCCAACAGCGCCGCTTCGCGCGCAGGGATCACGTCGTGATTTGCAGGCGCTTGGCCATCCGTGCGATCTAGCTGTATTGGAGGGTAGCGTGATTCTCCCATGTGAAATTCACGGCAGCCGCGACTTGTGCCATCTGACGTTTGCCCGCTTCAGCTCTCCATTATCAGCGAGCTGTGGCGTTCGCAGGGCTCCTACTTTTGTCTGGAATTCATGCGGCATGGCCTCGCGCGGCGCCTTCCAGAACATACAGCTGCCCTGCTCGATTTCAACCTCGTTGAGTCGTTGGCCCATCACCGCGGGAACTTCGTAGCGCTGTCGAGACTCATAATGAGTCGCGCAAGCTCGCATCGAACAACACCGTCGGCCCAGCCGCCCATCCCACCGAGTTCGTTTGGCGGCCACGAAAACACCGGGTGTAGATGCGGCTCTCTGCCGCTCGGGAAGAGATGACCCGCGGCCCGCGACGCGAGGCCCGCGCGGCTTCGACTGTTCGCCCTGGACAAGCGATCGGGCCCACGGGGCCATCACCGGAGCGGCGCGCTCGCGCTGGCCAGGGCTGACAGGCGCAGGCGCGGCGCGACCGCCATGGCTCCGCCGACTTTGTCTCAGGCACCCGTTGTCTCCAGCGCGTTTGGCGTTCGACAGCCCCGCCGCGCTGCGCCATTGCGCCGCGCGCGTGGCGCTTGGATACCCCGCCGCAAACTCACGCGCCGGTTGTGCGAGGACGCCTTGCGTTGATGCCATCCATCGGGCGCGAAGCCTCAACGACCGTCGACTCCGCAAAGTCGCGCGTTCGCGGCGACATGGGATCATTCTGGGGCATCCCCATTACTGGGCCCACGTGCTTCGCAACGGGTGATACCTATCTAGCAAACACAAATCGCAAAGAAACGTCTCTCATATTCACGTCTGTGCTCGTCCACTCCAATTGGGATATCGCCCGGCCCTGCAAGTTTAGCGCCCGCCTCGTTCCTCATCCAATCCAAGCTCATGGCCTTTCATCGCAGAATGGCTCTGGAGCTCGACATTGCAGTTGGCAGTCGTCGGTTCGCGTGCCTAGAGCCTTTCGCACGCGTATCTGACATATGTCTGAAGGTCCAGCAACGCCGCTTCGCGCGCAGGGATCACGTCGTGGTTTGCAGGCGCTTGGCCATCCGTGCGATCTAGCTGTATTGGAGGGTAGCGTGATTCTCCCATGTGAAATTCACGGCAGCCGCGACATGTGCCATCTGCCGTTTGCCCGCTCCAGCTCTCCATTTTCAGCGAGCTGTGGCGTTCGCAGGGCTCCGACTCTTGTCTGGAATTCATGCGGCATGGCCTCGCGCGGCGCCTTCCAGAACATGCAGCTGCCCTGCTCGATTTCAACCTCGTTGGGTCGTTGGCCCACCACCGCGGGAACTTCGTCGACGTCAGCATTGCCACTTTATCTCCACTGCTGCCCCTCAACCTGATCCCTGGCACTTTGGGCCGCGAGAGCTCGCGCGTGCCGTGGCAGCGCCGAGGAGACACTGGAGCGCATCTCACCCTGGCCTCTGCAAACCCACTTGTCGTTGTCTGAGTTGCCCCTGTAAAACATTTTGCACATTCAGCAGGTCACGTGGCAGAACGGGCGCGTCGACCCGACGCCCACTTAGCTCGCTGCTCGCGCTGGTTCGACGCTCGCTGGTCTGGCCCGCGCCAATCCGACGCCCGCCGGCATGCGCTCCATCAAACGGTCGCGAGGTTTGACGCCGCAACGCGCTCTGGCTCATCCCCGCCGACATTGCAACCCCATGGCAGCGCGGCGCGCGACCGCGGGGGATTGCGCGGCATCGAAGAGGCAGGGCAAATGACCCGCCCGCTCTTGCGGCTCTGCCGACTTCACCCTGAACGCGCCCAGCCTTGCCGCGGCAAGGCATCCCCGACGCAATCGCCCCGGCGCCAAGCCCCGCCGCCGCTGCGCCCGCGGCGCGAGGTTTCCCGAGCGCCCGCCATGCGACGCTTGCGGGTGTCGGCGCATCGAGGTTACGCCCTGTCGGAATAACACTTTCATCGCCAAGCGTTCATTCCGCCCCGCCCGCGGCGGCGACAGCCCCCAGATCTCTGCTCATCGCGTCGCGGCTGCGACCGCCAAGAGCCCCCCTCAACCCCGACGCAAGCGCCTGAGATCACGGCCTCGAAATCCGCGGAAGAGTCCGAGGCGACCAACCCCCCGCGGGGGCGGGCCTGTCGGCTGATGACCTGCGCGCAGGGGTAGAATGGCCGATGGGCCACGCACCCCTGGTCAAAACCGCGCCCTGGCTCGCCTGCGAAAGCGGCGAAGTCCGAAATAAATTGTCGAACTCGCGTGCCGCCGCGGCTCGCGAGGGCGCCCGGACAACGAGAATGGCCCGCCCAACGGGCCCACAGCGCGCTGCAATCTCCGGCAACAGCTACAAAATACTTCCAACTCGCGCGCGGTTGCCCCTGGGGCCCCCGGGCGAACGG